GGAGGTAGAAGAAACCAAGAGCCCTTCTGATGGGGGCCACTCGGCTGGTGGAAGGGCTCAGCAAGGTTGGGCTATGAGTTCGAGGCGCCCATGGCTGTCGAGACTAGCAACGGCAGGAGGAATGACAGGACACTGGATAGGAGAAAGGAGCAGGGCCCGGCCCGGCCCGGCCTGAGGGGTGTGGGAACTAAAGGAACCCTGGGTAGGAATGGCAGGGATCGTGGGGAGGGTTTCGGGGATGGGAACAGCCAGTAGCAAGAATGGAGCATGATAAGGGCAGGGTCTGGTGGGGTGGGGGTGGGGGGACAGAAGGAGGGGGGTCCTGGGAAGGGCGGCTGAAAGGTGATGCGCCGGTGGGCAGTGCTTTGTGACCGGAGGGAATGTTTTCTCCCTGGTTGCTGAAGAGGGCCTGGCAGCAGTTGGCAGGGCTCCAGAAGTTGGGTCATAACTGAACATTGCACTCTGTCAGGCAGCTTGCACATGAAATGGGCAGACTGTGACAGGCACACTGCTGGGGCACTCCGGATGCTGGGCTTCCATCTACCACTGTCTCCATGCTACTGCATGCGGTGGCACCTCCCTGCAACCGGACAAACTCAGACATCACCTATCAGGTACAGCTGACCCTTCTGTGGAGACCACCAGATTTCTCCCCAGCCTCCCCTCCCACTGGTTTGTGAGCCAGTTTCTCAGGAAGGAAATTCCCAGATGGCCTGGCTAACTGGAAAGACAGCCTAGCCCAGGTCAGAGGGTAGACACCAAATCATTGTTCACTGGTTACAGGAAGTCAGTCTTCTCCAACAGCAAGGGAACAGGAAGGAAGTGATGGTGTAGGGAGACATGAACCCTGATAGGCCTGTGGATACATCCACACCCCACACCGTGGAGGCTAGCCTCCCTGACCCCCTTCTATGGCTAGGGGAGGTATTTGGCTGAGGCCCCTGAACTCACTGGGCCACCAGTGTTTGGTGTTCACAGTCTCAACAGGTTGGGCCCTGCTGTAGGATACCCCAAGGGAAACTGACCGGACTTAAGGTCCCCATGGCCAGAGCTCTACAGCCAAGCACTGGGACTGGCTGTGGTTCTGGGGCCTTGCCTGATGCTCCCAGCTGTCATTAGGCCATACCCAGCTGCTCCTCCCCAAGCCACAGCCTACACCTTAAGGTGGGAGGGAACACTCTCAGGGTGGCCACAGTGACATTCCCAGAGCAGAGAAGATGGGACGTAGGCTCTAGTGACACACTGTCAGACCTACGCCCCTAATGTGGATGTCACAGCCCACACGGCCACTCTGCTCTTGGGATCTCCCAGTTTTGCCTGATAGGAGGAGGTCCCCTCCTATGAGCAACATTGTAGCAAGCAGCAAAGAATGCCACTTTCAGAAGTTAAATGAAAGCAAGCATGATTCTGGATTTTTTTTTTTTTTTTTTTTTTTTTTTTTTTATAAAAGTTCTGTCAAGTGAGAACATTTTGAACAGCAGTTACTGTTACCCCTAGCTTCTGGAGGAAACTTATCAGCTGTTCAGCTCCCACAAGCTGGCAAGAAACACACCCCTCTGCAATGCATCCAGGCTGGATAAATAGTACTGTGCAGCTCTCAGACCTAGGGGCTAGGCCATGGCAGGTAGCATGTGAACACAGAGTGAATTCTAACCAAACATTGTTCCACATGATGCTTTCCCTGGAACCCAGATGCTCGCCCAGCGCAGGCTTTGAGCCCTACCTCTTGCTCCACTTCTCAATGTAGGCCATTAACAGTCTGGGCAGCTGCTGTGCCCACCAGGCTACATGGGGACAAGGCGGGGCAAGCAGCCCTGTCAGGAACATCACTCTGTAGCCAGGGAGTACCTCCCTCTGTTCTTGTGGCCCCCAACAGGTCACATGCACACACATCTGGAAATGCACGTGCAAGGAAGCTTTGGACCCCCTACCCAAGCTCTAATGTTTTCAATTCTAAGCCTGCCCTGTGCCATTGCTGTGCCTTCAAAGAGCCTTGTGTGTCCCCGGGCCAGTGGTGAAAGCAGCCAGCATCTCTATGGCAGAGGCTCAGTGAGGTCCAACTATTTTGTCCTCAGTTCTACAGACAAACGTCTGTTCAGTTCATTTCCTCAAGAGAAAAGGGAACTCAGGACTGAACTAAATTGCTCTGGGTCTCAGAACCTGAGAGCTGCCTGTACCCAACCTGCAGGCCCTACCCAGGGGCTGGATGCTCTGTGGGACAGGAGAAGAGGCCCCAAGCACAGAGCAGAGGATGTGAGCACACTTGATCTGGAGGGCAGACTGTCCAAGTGCCGCCTCCCCTCTCGAAACCAGCTGTAAACACAGATAGGGAGGGGCCTCCATGCCTGCCAAGGGAGGCAGCGACTTTGTGAGTAATTGACTCAAGGAAAACAAGTGCAGCAGGAGTGTGCGCGGTGCTCACGCGCATCGCTGGCTGCCACAGTGGCTGGGATTCCCGAGACACAGGCCCTGGCTCTGCCATGCTGCCTGCTGCTGGCCTCTGGAGCCCACAGTACAAAGGAAGGAGGGACTTGTGATAAAGGTAGGAGCCTGGTGGCTGTCACTCACTGCTGCTGGCTGAGTGGGATAGAAGATGAGGAGGGCAGGGAGGACACCCCCCACGGGAGGAGAGAACTGATGACCTTCCACCAATGAGAGTCTCACAGACATGGAGGGACAGGTCTACTTACTACCAGAGGGCTGTGGATGCGGGGTCTGAGTGAGCTGGAGCACACAGTCCCTGTCATCAGTGTTGGGGAACTTGCTGTCATCAGAGGACCTCTCATAGCCTCTGTCCCATGCTGAGGAAGGAGGGTTGAAAGGGCACCAGGAGGAGAATTATCCATACGCCTGGGTCAGCAGGAACGTGGCTACGGGCTGGTGACCAGGAGAGGGCAGAACACACACTAATATCCACCCATGGTGGCCACATAACACCCACTGTTCCCTGAGGACTGTGGAGATATGGCCTGGTGGATGAGGTTCCAATAGTGTGTGCTCTTGTTCAGCCACCATTGGCCACCACAGCCAGGCAGCCTGGGAGACCCAATGTGCCTGGAGACTGGGCCTGCTGTGCTGAGCATTCAGGGGAGGCACCAAAGAACAGAAGGAACAGCAAAGCAGACCCTGAAGAAGTGACCAGAAATAACAGAGAGAGAGGCCACAGAGGCACCTTCAGGAGGGGGCTGGAGGGCTGCTGGTGTACACCAATCCCTCCAGTGGTCAGTTTCTAGCCCCCCAACCCCCATGACGAGGCAAGCAGGGGTCACCAAGAGAAACCCATGTCTGGTGAAGATGCAGCAAGCATTTGTCTTGAAGGAGGGCAGGGCCACTTACCACTTGTCAGGGCCCCACTCCATAGCCACTGTCCTAGCTGTTGGGAGCACAGGCTTGGACTGCAGTGTCCTTACTCAGTGGCTTCCCATGTGCATCTGAATGAGTGTTCCAGCATCACCCTAAGCCTGACGGGTGGGGGGTGGGGGGTAGGTGCACAAGCTGATGTCCAGAAATGCACAGTGCCAACTAGCATCAGAGTGGCGGCTTCCACTGGGACAGATTATAGCATGGAACTCTCCATTTTCCTCCTGATGAGCCTCCTGTCCCACCCAGCCCCTGCTGCCAGCCTGTGCATCTGTAGTGTCCCTCATGGTCGCCGGAGGGCCCTCCACTCACTGTCCTGACATAGCAGTCAGTACACGCCTGTAGGCTGTAGAGAGCAAGTGGGGATTAGCCCTTGAGTTACACAGTTTCCTCCCAGTGGGGGCCCAAGGCAGGCGGGACCAGTGCCAACACCAGCAGCCTGGCTTCCTAGCTTTGTCCCCTGCACTCTGGGAAAGGGGAATGTTGGCTTTCAGTGTTCTGCTCAGATTTGCTCTCTGCTGTGATTGTGTGGGCAGGTCTGGTTGGGCCGAGGTGCAGTCTGAATGTAAAATTTCCCTCTAAAGGACTGGGTGTCCCTGGAGAACGAGTGAAGAGGAATTGCCCTCTTAGATCCACTTGCCAAACTCTCGTTCAGTTACAGCAAGATTAACTGCACAGACTGCAACATGGGCTCGGTGCTGCCCATAGGTCAGTGACCCTGGGGGAGGAAAAGGAATGCCTGGCTCACCCAGGCCTCCCAGCATTGGTGGATTTGGGTGCCCACAAACCCAGCAAGCTTCAATAGTAACTACAAAGGGCCGGCCCGTCTGAGGGAAATTATGTGGGCACAATGGAGCGTCCATGCTCAGCCCCTAGGCTTCATCAGCCTCAGAGGCGCCTGGGCCTCCTGTGGCTACACACCTCCAGGGCATTGGCTCGTCCCAGCCCCGCTCATAGGGTTCAGTGTGTGTGTGTGTGTGTGGGGGGGGGCTACAGGTATACAACCTTCGTATTCACATCTCACATTTGCTCACATGTGTGCTTGTGCTGGGGCACAGCCTGCTACTATGTGCCATACATGCATCCTCCAGCCCACCCCACTCCCCTCGCACCAGGCAGATGTGTGTCCTAGATGACAGGCTATGCTTATGTCTTCTACACAAGAGAGAATAGATGTCAAGTGGAGATGGTGGCTGGGGCAGCCCAGCACTGCTAAGTGAGTTGAGGTTGCGTGGATTCTGTCCCCACAGAGTAGCTCTGATGGTGGTGAGGAGCCCAAGGCATTGCTGGTAAGGTCGTGGCACAGGAGGGCACAGGTAACATACTTCTGAAGGTTTCTGCTGAAGAGTCTAGTAGATCACCTGGGACTTTGATCTCCTTCATGAACTGAGTCCGGGAGTCTCACCATGGCCATGAGTGTCTCAGAAGCCTGGCTCCAGCAGTCTGGCCTGGAGCCTCCTGCTTACATACATACACATGCACACACGCGCGCGCGCACACACACACACACACACACACACACACACACACACACACACACACGAGCTTGCAGGCATGCACACACAACTACACACACCCACACAGGCAGAAGAGTGCTTCCTGAAGCCTGGTGACTAACTCTGTCCCTTCTCTCTCAGCAGAGCTGCGAAGCTGGGGTGAGGTGCCATGTGGAGCTGTGGCCCACTCAACAGCACAGCGTGGGGTGAGGAGCCGCTGTGCCGCAACCTGCGCCTGGGGCTGTGGGTCCTCTCGCTGCTCTACCTGGGGGCAGGAGTCCCTGTGGGCTTGGGCTACAATGCCCTGCTGGTGCTGGCCAACCTGACAAGTAAGAACAGCATGACCATGCCAGACGTGTACTTCGTGAACATGGCGGTGGCAGGGTTGGTGCTCACGGCACTGGCACCTGCATACCTGCTGGGACCCGCCCACTCCAGGTGGGCCCTGTGGAGCCTCAGCAGTGAGGCACATGTGACACTGCTCATCCTGTTCAATGTGGCTTCCCTGGTGACCATGTACTCCACTGCACTGCTGAGTCTCGACTACTACATCGAGCGTGCCCTGCCACGCACCTACATGGCCAGTGTGTACAACACCCGGCATGTGTGCGGCTTCGTCTGGGGAGGGGCAGTGCTCACCAGCTTCTCCTCCCTGCTCTTCTACATCTGCAGCCACGTGTCTTCTCGCATCGCCGAGTGCACCCGGATGCAGAACACGGAGGCTGCTGATGCTATCCTTGTGCTCATCGGCTATGTGGTGCCAGGTCTGGCTGTGCTGTATGCGCTGGCACTCATCTCAAGGATTGGGAAAGAAGACACGCCCCTGGACCAGGATGCTAGCAGGCTGGACCCCTCGGTGCATAGGCTGCTAGTGGCCACTGTGTGCACACAGTTTGGGCTCTGGACACCTTACTACCTGAGCCTGGGGCACACGGTGCTGGCCTCACGGGGGAGGACCGTAGAGGGGCATTATCTGGGCATCCTGCAGGTTGCTAAAGACTTGGCCAAGTTCCTGGCCTTCTCAAGCAGCTCCGTGACGCCATTGCTGTACCGTTACATCAACAAAGCCTTCCCTGGCAAGCTCCGAAGGCTAGTGAAGAAAATGCACTGTGGGCACCGGCACTGTTCCCCTGACCCTGCGGGCATCCAGCAGGTGATGGCTCAGGCATAGCTAACCCCTCCCTGGTTTTAAGTCCCAGGAGAGGGCCTGACCATGAGGAACACTAAAATCCAACTGGACGCATAGCACTTTGTTCCCCAAGCACATGGCGCTTCCATCCATCCCCAGGAGACATGCTGAATCCAGAATAGCACAGGGGGACATTCTCTTGACATTTTCTGTCTTTTCCCCTAAAAGGCCAATCCTGGTCTGCAGCTGCATTGTGGAAAGCGGTGGCGCCTTGTGTGAACGGGCTGCTTCTAACTAACCTCCCCACCTGCCCCTCAAGGTGTGTGCCTTTCTCCCAGGGACACCTTCAAGGTTCATGTCCTCAAAAGCAGGCTGACCCTTTGGCCTCCCTGGTATTTGGGCTTTCTAAATGAAGTGGTGAAATCTAAAGCCAGTATTTATATTTCATATTGACACAATACTTGATTCTCCTCCCTCTCTCTCTGTCGTCTTTTTTAAAAAAATAAAAACAAGTGTTAGAAAAATGCCTAATATTAAGATGAAAACAGTACAAGGGAACATGGCTGTCACTGATACCATTGTTACAGCTTGAGGACAGGACAGTGTGCCTGAATTGTTGGCAATGACAGCTGTGGAGCACTGGACCTCTCTCCAGCCACACACACCTGGCTACCCCTCTCCTGCTGAGAAACGATCTTAGTATAGGCACAACATGTGCACATCAATAAAAGTACTCTCTCTCTAAGTGCAGAAACTGGAAGACCTCCCCAGGAGAGAGATCTGGACATGGTAAAGTGTTACCCAAGCATGGAAGGGAGAGGCAGGATGGTATGAGGCCAGGTACTCTAAGATGACCAGAGAATGGCATCCGGGGTAAAGGCCCTGCCTGGCCTGTTTCACACAGCTGTGGGGTGGTACAGGATGAGGCTCGCCTTCCACAGGTGTCTGGGTCCAGGCCTCACCCACGTGCCTCTGGGGCCTTGTGTTTGGTAATTAACTACTCTAAGATGTGGACATGAAAAGAATTCCTCCCACCCCATTCCATCACTGTCGCCGCCTCATTCTCTAGGGTTACAATGCAAACCCACAACTCCCTGTTCCCCAGTTCTAAAGCCCTTCTCCATATGATCATCTAACTTGCCTGTCTCCGCACAAGGCTGGTGTGATTCATATTCAGTGGCCTTCCTACACAGCCCTAAGGCTGTCCAGGTTGCTTGGGAACTTCAGCTAGGAGTGACTTTAGTTTTATCTACTCTATGCAAACTGCATCTCCTAGGCTGGTGACTGCCCGAGTTAATCTGCCTCAAAGAGGATCAGGGAGGGAGGTCCATGAGGTCCTCATCCTTGGCTGTGATCCACTGGGCACACTCTGTGGGGCCCAGTTCCTCAGGAATAAACCACAAGGCTGGATTAGACACCGGTCTTCAGGATTGCTTCTGGCTGTAGAGTTTTATTTTGAGGCTTTTAAAATGGCAAGCCTAACTTGCCCTGTCCTTGCTCCCAGATGCACAGCTGGATGGAGGCTCTGAGACTCTCGTGGCTACCAGGCTTCCCACATTGACCACCTTAATGCTTGCTAAGGAAACAGGAACCCTAGCCTGCAGACCAAAGTAATTGTCCTTTGGGAGAGAGCAAGCCCGGGGCCAAGGTCAGGGCAAGCAAAGGGCAGCCGGAGCTTTGTGGGTCATAGGGGAAACAGGATCCAGATGGGCTGTTTGTGATGTTCCTGTTCCAGTTTAAAGCAGTCATTGACCCTGCTGACCATTTTATACCCTTTGCTCTGCTCCAGGCAGCGGTCCTGGGAGGGGCAGACCCCAGGTCCTGGAATGGCTCTGTGCCCTGGAATCCTTCACCCCAATCATCCCCAAGTACGGTGGGGAGATGTTCCTTAGTTGCACTTTCTCAGTGTACTTAAGTACAAACTGGCCAGGTTCTAGGAGACCCTTGAGGAACTGGAAGGCAGGACCCCATGACTAGCATTAACTATAGAGCCATTTGTTCTGCAGGGATAGCCCAGTGGACACCAGCTGTCTGCTTGGGTCTTACTAGGGGAGCCACACATGGCCAGAGGTGTGGCCATCTACAGTGCAGACTCTTTCCCTGTAGAGACCCCCTGTAGTGATGCACCCTCCTACCCAGGACTCTATTCCTACCACCCAGCCTTCCACTGCAACTGCCCAAACACTGCACAGTCCCTGGTGCTGACATTTGCTGTCTGTGATTCTGTGCTAAGTTCATCCTAGGAGTTCCCAGTGTCTGTTTCCTACGTCTTCTGCTATGCACCTCCCAAAGTAGGGAAGAACTTTAACCACATAGAGAAGATGGTTACTACAATGATGCGTGCGTGTGTGCGCGTCTGTGCACACGTACAGTGCTTTCTTGCATGAGTTTAAGATGCCAGGCAGGACACACAGCTCCCAAAGGATCGTTAATTTGGCTGTCAACACTTCTTGATGGTTATAATTTACAATGGATGCTCTATTTTCATTAACTCACAAGAGAGCTTGTCATGTGTCATTACTTAGGATTCCAGAAAGTGACCTTTTTCTTGGGTTCCCTTCACAATGTCTCAAGACACGTCAGAGGAAACCAGAGCCAATGCTCCTTGGGGCAGATATACCCAGGAACTAAAAGACAACTTTCTGTTAGAGAAAGCATTCGGCAAAGGCTGGACCAGGGAGTAGTTATGACATTAAACTTGGGAAGAGGGGGGCTTTCTCATTCCTGACCTACAAGATCCACCCACATGGCTGGATCCATTTGCCAAAATTCTGTGTATGTGAAAAAGAAACTACTGATGAGATTCACACATCTGAATACTATTAAATTATTTAACATGCAACACCCTGTTTCCTCCCCCCCCCCCCCTTGGTGCCTGTGTTTTAATGGTGGAGGAAGAAAACCAAATACCAGGGCTTTGCACCAGCTAGGTAAGCAGTTGCTACTGAGCCACAGCCAAGCCCAATGTCTGGATTCCTAAAACATGCATTTCTAGGAGTATGCGATGTTTATCGGGAACCAGAAAGCAATGGTTGTTTCTGGTCTGGAGTTGCAGCTCAGATCCAGAGTGCTTACCCAGCACTAGCAAGGCCCTGGGTTTGGTCTCCAGCACCTTCGTGACCTTAGTGTAGAGATTTGCACACTTATAATCCCATCCTTTGGGAGACCACCTATATCTCCAGTTCCAAGGGATATAATACCTTCTTCTGGTCTCCACTGGCACACATAAACAACACAAATCTTTCTTTTAAAAGGTTGTTTCCACTCATACTATAAATGTCAACACTTTTACTTTACTCCATAGTTTGTCTACAGAATTACATTAGGCTGACAAACCTACCATCGTTCAGATGTCACATGCCCAGTGGTTGCCACAGATCAGCAAGCCTTATGGGTGACAAAGGGAACTTGAACCTGTCACTCAGCCAGCCACAGATTGCAGAGAGGGAAAGGCTATACCCATGCACGGTTCTACTTCTTCCCAAAATGTCACCACCTTTAGGGACAGGGTGAGGGTATTATCATGGCCTAGCAGCTCCCTGAGACTCCTGGCACGTGTGGGAGAGTCTGTCCCAGCAGCAGCTGACCTTGCTTTGCATACAGTGTTAGCTGATAAGAGAAAGAGTGACAACCTGGGAATGATGCTCACAAAACACACCCGGTGCTATCAGTAAAGCGCACACACAGCCTGGAGTATGCTGTGAGCTTTGCCTGCTTTTGCCGAATGCATGTGTGAATGAGTGTGCATCGGAGCTGTGCTTTTCCGAGTGCTCTTATGCTGTAGTCGGCTTCAGCAACACTGAGAGCTGAAGTCAGGGAAGTCCAAATCCAGTGGATCTAACTCAACTTGGGGCAAGGTCACTCTGTTTGGAGGATCTCCACAGTCCTCTCTGTGTCTGGACAAGGACTGGATTTCTCCAATAGCAAGTCTCTCAGGCCTCCTAATTGTTAGATGTGTGATTCAAGGATACCCCACTGTGTCCCTCAGGTAATGGAAAGGATTCTTGAACTGCCCTCAGCATGTGAAACATCCCTGTGGCCACAAGCCCAGGGGATGCTGCTTCCAGTGCCACCTAGCATGCCCCCACAGTCTACAGTAGGGACAGAACCATGAGAGCACAGGGAACTTCCCAGGATGGGCGGCCATCACATGCACTTCAGACCTCAAGGGGGAAGGAAGGAAGGCAGTGCTAGCCACATCCCCAGATCTAGTCACTGGTTCCTTCTGGGGCACAAAGTATACCCCCACTCCAGGGCTCTTTTCAGATCCTAAGCCGAGAACCATCAGAGCCCAGACTTGGAGCTTCCTTTCAAAGGAGGACCGGATGAGCCTGACTCCTGTCACTCAGCACCCCTAGCCACCTGGCAGTGACGGAGTCAGGGTGCTCCTGGCTGATATGTCAGGCCACAGTTCGGGAAAAGGGAAGGACTTAAAGCCTACCACTGCTGGAAAGTTACACTCACCATGTCTTTTGACCACCCTACTACTCACTTCCCCCATTGCCAGTTTTCTCTTTGTGTGTGTGTGTGTGTGTGTGTGTGTGTGCACGTGCAATATGTACGTGTGTGCACACACGTCTGTTTGACTATAGGTGCATGGCTGAAGGGGGTGGAAGTCTGAGGTTGGGGATGGTAATAACCATGATTGCTCTTCCACCTTACTTATGGAGGCAGGGCCTATCTTTTAACCAAACCCAGAGCACACTGATATGGCTAGCCTTGCCAGCCAGCTTGTTTTGAGGACCCACCTCTGTCTTTGGGGGCTGGATTATGGATGGGCCACCATGCCCACCTGGGACTTACATGGGTTCTGGGGATCCAAACACCCAACAGCCTGCTTCCCTGATCCAGGAAAGGAGACACTATCTCTGGGGCCCCAAGGAACTTTCTAGAATGATGGGAACAGTCTCTCAATGGGCCATTGGATTTGTGGCTGCTTGCACTTGTCAGAAGCCATCGGCCAGGAACTCAGAGATCAGTCAACTGGGTCATGTATGGACTGACCCTCAATGTCTCCTGAAGTGGGGACAAGGATGGCCAGCCCCATGCCATCATCATTATGGGTGGCATGAACCTGGGAGATGTATACAGAATGCTGTAAGATGACTTCCCCGGGTTCATGGTTCCTGTCTAAGACATGCTTGTTTCCAGAGCTCCACCCAGTGGCCCTCAATGGATTTGCCATCGGCGGACATCAAGCCTCTGGCTGCACAAGCCAGCAGCAGGCCAGCTAAACACGAGGCTCTCCCACAATAGCTTTTGCCACAAACAGATAGTGTAGACACCAGCTAAATATCCCCAAGCAATCTCACTGATGTTCACTACCTACATTACAGGATGGATTTAGACAAAGAAATGCTGATTTTTAGAGTTTCTCAGCATGGAGTTGGGCTCCTACATAACACTTATCCCATGATCCTTAGCAAATGTGGGTCTGGAGATGAGAGTTGGTCTTCACCACACCTTGGCTAATCTGAG